GGCATCACATTCTTTATCCTGGGTCCCACTTTACCTGGAAGAGAGGCTCCTCCTGAGAACATAGATGGCAGAAAGTGCCATCAGAGGAAACAACTTCCAGCCAAGGAGAAGAATATAGCTGAATACGGTGGCACCTGATGACAGAAGGACATCAGGATGGTCAGGGTGAGCTGGGTTCCTCTTCCATTGCTCAACCCCCAGACAGGCTCAGCCCTGCCCCGACCCAGGTACCAAGACTCCACCTTGGTCTTGGAGGGAGTCACCTCACCTCTCTCAGCCTCAGTTTCCTCATCTTTAAAGTGGGCATTGGAACACGTACTTGAGAAGTCTTTGTACCGAGTGACAACACCCACACAAAGGACCTACTAGGTGCTCAGTAACTGTTGAAGCTGAATGGCTTTTGGGTGGGAACTGGGGAAGGAGGTTTCACGTGAGCTTGCCCACCTGGTCACATCGGTGGGTGGTCAGCTTGCAGCTGTGAAAACAGCACTTACTGCTCTTRGGTACCAAAGACATCACCTTCGGAAGAGGATACTGTGATTGCCTTCACGTATTACAGATGAAGAGTTCCAGAAAGGTGAAGTGACTTCCCCAAGGTCACTCACACACAGTGAGTAGAGCAGGGTCAGTTCCTCAACCAGCCTGTGTGACCGTGGGTCTGAGCCTTTAACTGTGCAGGGAGTCCGCTCCCACTTACCCAGGTTCAGTTGCAGGCCTCCAGACTCGCTCAGGTGCATGCTCTTTTGGACCAGCACCTGGTCATTCCGCCACACCTGGCAGGTGAACAGCCTTGGGTTCTCCAGCTCTGAAGCATTGACCAGGATGTGCCTGTCTTGGCTGAATGTGCCGTCTGGGTTCTCAGTGGGGGCAGAGGCCGCACAGATCTTGAAGCACCCGTTCCCCTCCAGCCAGGTGATGTGCATGTCTTCAGGGTAAAACCTGTGCACGTGGCAGGTGAGAAGGGCCACCTGGAGTGCTGGGATGTAGTGTGCTGAGGTATACACTGTGGGGACAACTGAAACAATAGCCTTCTTTTACTTTCTTTCTTCGTGCAAAAAGGCCCAAGGAGCATCTGTCCCTTGCTAGGCCTTGTGCTCAGTTCTTGGAATATAACAGAAAACCAGGAAGACACTCTGCCTCCCRGAGTGCCCACCCGGGTGGGGAGGAAGCAATCATGGGACTCCCACAGGGGTTCCTACRATAGGGCCACCTCACCTGGTCTGGAGGTGGGCAGACTAGGGCAGGATCCTGGAGGATGTGATCTTTGGGCAGACATAGGAAAGATAATATACTTGGAGTTAACTCTATGCACAGATTGCATTTTCTAAGAATGGTGACAGCAAGCCCCACCCGGTCTTCCAAAATTTTAGCTCTCCTTATCAGAGACAGAGTCTGTTTCTCCTCCCCCTGGAATCAGAGTGGGACTTTGTGACTGTCTGATGAGCAGAATGTGGCAGAGATGGCCTGTGGGACGCCTCAGGCTGGGTCATCAGAGTTGACATGGCTTTCACCTGGCTCAGGTGCCATCTTTCTCGGGATACACCCTCATACCCAGCCACCAAGCTCTAAGGAAGCCCAAACCTGCCCATGTGGAAAGATGATAAGGAAAGGCCTGTGTCAAGGAGAGCCCAGGCCCCAGACCTGCAGCCAGCACCAAGGCCAGGTCCCGGGTGAAGGAGCCCTCGGGAGATCCCCAGCCCTTGACCAGGGACAGAGCCCTGGGGTGAAGCTCAGCAGGTTCCAAAGTGAAACAAGAAACAAGACCAAAGTGAGCGAGGGGGAGGGGAGTAGGGGTGAGGTGAGGCCCAATTCCTAGTCCATTCTAGTAGCTGTGCTTATGAGGGCCACCCCTGAAGGCTCTGAAAGGCATTCTAAGGAGTAGAGACCCYGATCGTTTTCATTAAATTGCTTTCCAAACCCTGAGCCCCATAGGACTCTTTGTAAACTGATGGCCTGAGAGTAAACATCAAGGCCTTTCCTCTCTGACCTCCTTTGTTTCTGAATTTTCTTCCTCTTACTTCAYAAAAGAAAGACCTTTGTCCCACACGTCCCCAACCTAGCTATGGTGCATGGCCCTCAGCTTGAAGACTTTGGGACCCAGGATAAAAGGACAGTTCACCAACCTGCTGKCAGGAAGCCCGTCCTGGCCACAGCATCACCGACTTCCCACCGCCTCCCCGAACTGCGCCCCCAATCACATCTCTAAAGGCTCTCTTAATGATTATTTATAAAACCTGTCAGACTCTTAGATTGTTTTAGTTGATCATGTAAAACAACGTGAAAGAACTTTTTGAACAACGAGAGCCTTATGGTGGTAAGAATTTTTTTTTTTTTTTTAAATTTCAGTCTTGTTGGAGTCCTCTGCATTCTCGTGGTTGATAATGTGTCTGTATGTTTTCRTGGTCAAGAAAAAAAACTTTCCAATATGAAATATACACGGGGTAAAGTTCTTTGTGGAATTAGAATAAAGACACAAATTTAGGAAGAGAAAGGAATGCTGTACAATTTCTTATTATTAAAAAAGACTTTATGTTTCAATGGATGATAGTGGAAGTAGGATATTATTTTTCCATTAAATATTTTCAGATGGATGTAACTTCCCAGGGATTATGTCATATGCAATCATTTAAGCTTATGATGAATGATTTTAGGTGTCAACTTTAAAATACATGATAAACTACACAGCCCTCCATAAGTATTTTTGGGTATATGAGCAAAAATGCTTGAAGATCACTGGTAAGCATCCCAGTAGATTTTCCCTGCCCCCTCTGAAGAGCAATGGTGAGCCACTATAGGGTTTTAAGCAGAGGAGGGACATGGCCTGGTTTTCTTTAGAAAATGGCTTTGGCTGCTGGAGGGTTAGTGTATGAACTGCAGAAGGCATGTGGGTACAAGAGATTAATTAGGAGGCTACTGCAATTGCCAAGAAGAGATAATGGTCGGCTTGAACTTGGGTATTAATTCAGATAGTGGAAGTAGACAGAAATGTAGGGTTCAAAAGACATTTTTTTTTTTTTTGGTACCAGGAATTGAAACCAGGGACACTTAACCACTGAGTCACATCCCTAGCCTGTTTCAATTTTTATTTGGAGATGGGGGGTCTCGATAAATTATGTAGGGCCTTGCTAAATTGCAGAGGCTGGCTTTGAACTGGTGATCCTCCTGCCTCAGCTTCCTGAGTTGCTGGGATTTTAGAGGAGATTTGAGGGGGAATAATACAATTTAGTGATGGATTGGGCAAGGAGTGTTCTCTGGGCTGGGGAGCCAGGTTCATGTGCTCCCTTCATCCACAGGGGAGGCCGAGGAACTGCGTRTCAGAGAGCGTGGGGAGAAGAGGCTCATGCCCATCTCTAGGCTGACCATGACTGATCGGCTTCTCCGGGGGAGGCAGAGCCGGAAGCAGAGTTCCTCAGCATGGCCACCGCGGTGGTGCTTACAGGAGGGACGGGGCTCTGAAGAGGGGTCAGTCTGGAGAACAGTCTGGAAATTCCAGTGTGCTCACTGAAAAGTCATGTGACCTTGGGCAAGGAAGTTAGCTTTTCCAGCCTCAGTTTCCCCRTCTGCAGGAACCAGGACGAAGAGCCATAGAGTTTCTTTGGGGTGCTCAAGGTGGAGGGTAGAATTTAAAACTCTGATCTCTTGGTTAAGCAGACAGACTCCTATTTTGGGATGCAGRCATTTGAGACATAAAGAGCTGAACTCTGTCTATTGGGATACCACAGACTGTCTCCATGGGGAGGGAGGGTGCTGGGGAGATCATGGTGCTGGTGATGGGGGATCTTTGGTTTTCCATGGCTGGATTTGGAAAGAAGAAAAACTGGGTCACTGGACCCCTGGGAGGAATTTCACCATCTTGCAGGAGGTAAGTGGGACTCGCCATGCTGAGGCTGCTGAGGCGCTAAGGAGAGAGCAGACCCTGGGGGGAAGGCCCCTTGCAGGCCAGAGCATGGACTTGAGYAGCAGTTGGAGAAATTGCTTATTCTGCAGTTTGATTCAACACAACAGCCTGGGTTTTGCTCCTAGGAAATGAACAACAGCCTTTCTCTTCATAGAGGCAGAACAAGAAGGGGAGGTGCAGCCTGCACTGCTCCTGCCTGCCCAGGGTAGGGTGGAGCGGCAGGTTGAAGAAGCATATTTCAAAGGCAGGGCCTGGCAGCTGAGCCATGGTGGCATGGTGGTTTGGACAATGGTGTTAAGAGTCCAAGTGGGAGAGACATCCTTTCTGAGGCTTAGAAGCCCTGAGCAATCTGATCCCCACTCCTTTCTTTCCAGACTGTTCCTTTTCCACACACCTGTCTTTTCACTAGGTCCCAGTCACCCCTGTCTCTTTCTGTTCCTCAAACATGTCTTACTCTTCACCACTGCCCCACCACAGGGCCTTTGCATGWGCTGTTTCCTCTTCCTAGAACACTCTACTTTGCTTGGATGATTCCTTTTCCTCTTTCATATCTTGGCTCAAACATCACTTCTTCCAAAAGATATTTCTCCAATAAACTAGATTTTCCCTGTTATATCAATGCAGCAATCTGTTCTTTCTCCTCAGAGCACATGTTCCGTATAATCATTTGGGACTTGGCTGATGGAATTCATGAGACAGAACGAGGTCTGTTCTGCTTGCCATGGAATCCCCAGCATCTAGAATAATGCCACCCCCAAAGCAGATGCTTAATCAACACATTGGATGAATGAATGAATTTCCACCTCCCAAAGACACTAGGAAGCCCTGATGTGGGAGGGGGATAGATACATCAAGAACCTCACGCTCAGCTCCCTCGAGGTTCCCTGGAGAATGAATGGGAGGATGCAGGGAAGGAGCCCATGGCCGCCACCAAAGGTCGGCCCAGCAGGTGGGGGGTCTTACCTTGGAGGAATTGCGAGATGTTCACGTGCCTTCTGTGGGGGCTCTGCAACTCACTGTGGGCCACTTGGCAGGTGACGTGGGAGTAGAGTGAGGAGAAGGTTAGGGACACCAGGGTGGTGCTGACAATGGCGTAGGATGGGTCCTCTCCAGGCTGGAAGACCAGGGTGTGGAAGGCCGGCAGCTCCCTGCCGTCTTTGAACCATTGCAGGTGGATGTGTTTGGGAAAGAAGCCCCTTGAGATGCAGGTGAGGTTCAGGACTTGGCCGGGGCTGGCCCTGCCGGAGGGGCCAGAGATCTCTGGAGGGGAGGGTTCAGCTTTGATCAGGGCAAAGGAGGAGAGAGGATGGAGGAGGAAAGAGAGAGGTGAAGATGTCGAGCTGCACTTTAGCACCACGGCCACCTTCAGGGTCCACCTAGCCTGAACCCCCCCCCCAGCCTCCCCCACTCCAGCCTCCCCCACTCCAGCCTCCCCCACTCCAGCCTCCCCCTCTCCAGCCTCCCCCACTCCAGCCTCCCCCACTCCAACCTCTCATCTCCAGTTCCCTCCTCTTCATTATAAACCAGCTCAGGGGCCTAACTTTGCTTCCCAACTTTCCCAGCCCATGCTTGGGGACCAGACCCTGGTGACCTTAAAATCCAGATGTGACCCTGGACATCATTTCCTTGTTCTCCTCCCTCCCTGCGTCAACAAACCGTATTGTAAAAAGTTGTAGAAGTCATGGCATGAAAAACAGTGAACTCTTAATTTCTTTTCCTTGTCAACATTATAGACCAAATGCTTTTAACCATTTTACCSGATTGAGTGTTTCTTTCTGTTTTAAACAACATCTTTCCACTGTCATTTCTCATTTTTTTCAGTTTTATATACTATTGTGGAAGAAGATAATTTAACTCTCTGCCATCTCCCTCCAAGGGCCACCTGCACTTCACCCCCGTGCATCCTCCTATCTCAGACACATCATGACTTTTTGTTTTATCGGTAYTCAGCATTTATATTATTATGACCAAGGAGCATCGCCTGCAGCTGGGCTGTGTAATACATCAGCATTACGTTTCTTGGTCAGCCTTTTGTTTTTCCAGGAATTTTTAATGGCCTCATTATTTTTATTTGCTTAGTTTCTATGAAGGTATAATAAATTCATTCCTGATTTTTTTTCCAAATGGATATAACTCCTCCTACTAGGGATTTGCTAAGTGTTCAAATGGACTTCAGCTTAGGGTAAATATAGACCGGGGAGTGCACAAACATTTTTTCAAAGGGGTATACAGGCTTGGATTAAAAAAAAATCTTTTTCATGTTGATTAATTTTAAACACAAAAAAATAGAAAGCGCTCATCATGGAACTTCAATAATTATCAAAAATAGAGATCTTGTTTCATCTATATTTTTCCTACCATCTATTAGTTTATCTATTTTAATTGTATATCCTGAATGCATACAACATAATAGCTTGGCGTATGTACGCATAATAAAACTATCTTATTACAGTCAAGATAATTTATTTATTGTCTTAGTCACATTTTTGTATGTGGTAAAGTCACCTAAAATCTATTGTTTTAGCAAATATTTTGTATATAACATATTATTAACTAYGCCTCAGGCTGAGCACTAGATCTCTAGACTTATCCATTTTATATAAATAATATTTTGTTACTTTGACTTTCATTTTACCCACTGCCTTTTGCTGGTAACCACCACTGTACTCTCTGTTTCTATGTATTTGAGTTTTTTTTTTTTTTTTTAGAGATTCCTCATATAAGGGCAACAAAATAAAAATAGAGCTGCCATGACCTAGCAACTCCTGTTCTAGGTATATGCCCAAAGGAAATGAAAGCATCCTCTCCTAAACTTTTCTGCACCCCATGTCCACGGCAACATTATTCACAAGAGCCAAGACATGAAAACGACGTACGGGTTTGTAAACGGATGAGTGGAGAAGGAAATTGTAGTATAGGAGTCTGCACAGTGGAAGATTATTCAGCCTTAAAAGAGGAGATCTTTCCATTTGCTGCAGCGTGGGTGAAWTTTAGAGGGCATTACGCTAGTGAAGTCAGCCAGACACTGGGCTGTTTTTTTTCTTGAATGTCCCCAAGGGGCRCCCCATTCCTGGAGGACTCTAATACCAGTATGAGGTGGAGTGGATGCAGCAAGTTCCCAGTCTCCCTTACCACATTGTCCTTGGAACGAGGACATTTTAGATATTAAACTGATAAAACTCAGACRCTTAGCCAAAAGRCCAGGAAGTGATGACATTGGGTTATGTTAAAGCAAATGCTAGACTCTTGTTTCATTCCTAACTAGGAAGAAAATGTTAGTCTGAGTTAAGAATTCTTTTTAAACAAGCAAAACACCATGATCATAATTAAGGTTCAAAAACAGTTCCTCCATATCATCTGATATTCATCAGCATTCAGATTTTACTGCTTGTCTCATAAATATAATTTTATAGTTGGTTTGTTTGAATTAGGATCCGAGCAAGAGCCATATGTTATATTTGGTTGATGTCTCTTAAGCTTTTTTTAATCTAAAAGAATTCCCTTCCTTTTTTTTTTTTTTTTTTTATCGTTTGCATTTACTTGTAGAAAAAAACCAGGTCCGGGACTGGGGTTGTGGCTCAGTGGTAGAGCGCTCGCCTAGCATGTGTGAGGCACTGGGTTCAATCCTCAGCACCACATAAAAATAAATAAATAAATATTTTTAAAAAATGCAAACCAGATCAACATCCCTACCGAATTCYGTACAATATTCTGTACTGTTTCCTATGGTTTCTCAACGGGAGTGAGCGCCCATTGCTGACAGTGGTAGTGGGCTTGATAATAACACACCCTTTATTTTCTGAGGGTACTCTTACTGGAATTTCTGGAATTCAAGTTCTAGCCTCAAGTTGAACCCAAGCTAAATTCTGTTGTTTTTCTTCATTTTTTTTTTTGCACATCAGGGATTGAACCCAGGGGCACTCAACCACTGAGCCACATCCCCAGCCTCACTTCTTTTTTAATTCTGAGACAGAGCCTCCCTAAGTTGCCTAGGTCCTCTCTAGGTTGCTGAGGCTGGCCTCCAACTTGCAATGCTCCTGCTTCAGGCTCCAGAGTCTCTGAGATGATAGATGTGCACCCCTGTGCCTAGGTAAACCCTTTTAAAAAGTCCCTTGAAATCGTTTATCTTCGTCTAGTTAAGTCATGCATATATAGTTACATTAATTCATTTCATTTTAGATTAAGTAATTTAAATTTTTAGGATCTTTTTCATTTTGAATTTTGCTTATTAATTTTCCTAAACATTCAGATGTTTATAAAGTCAAAATTTAAAGGTACCCTTATGGAAGTCTAGTTTCTACCCTAGTGSTTTCCACTCAGTTCATTTTCTCCCTTACAGATGACATTTTAAATTTATATTTTAGTTCGTTCCTTTTTTAGAAAGTATGAGCAAATATGTATATGCTTGGCTTTGGACGTTGTATCGTAAAAGGTGGAGTGTTCTACACAATTCCTATGCGTTGCTTCTCCTGTCTAACAATATCCCGTGGATCACAATGAAATGCTGGCCCGAGTTCCTCCTCGGGCCCTTCTGAACCCATGTAGTGCTCAGCTGTGTCACCCAACCCTGATTTATTTAGTAGCAGCTCAGGTTTTGCTCTTATAAATAGTGTGATGAAAAGCCTAAAGCATAAATCATCTTGAATTTATGTGGAATTGTTGAGTCACAGGGTCATATGTAACTAGGTGAGATGTATGTGTAATATGTGTACGCTATGTGTATATGTAATATGTAATTTTGTATATGTAATATGTAATTTTGCTACATATTGCAAATTCACCTCTTACTAGGTTATATGATTTTGCCTTCCTACCAGCAAAATGTGGGATACATGTTTCTCTATAGCTTCCTGTAGAATATGCTGTTAAACTTTTTGATTTTTGGCCAAGCTGATAGGGGAGAAACCATGTCCCTGTGTTGTTTTAATTTGCATTTCTTTTTATACAAGGATAGATGAACATACTTTTATATGTATCTAATTTATATGTATCTAATTTTCTATAACTTGTCTTTTCATATTCATCAGCTAGAATCCTATAAATTTGCTTGTCTTCTAAAATTTTAGATGCTCTCTGTATGTCAGGGATGATTCTTTTACTGAAAGTTGCAAAATATTATATGCACACATCCATACACAAGTTTCTGTTTGTATAATGTGATGGGAATTACCATTCCCCACTCTTTTTGTAAAAACAAAAAATTCGAATTATAGTTAGACAGGTTTCCCCTCACTTCCAGGTTATAAAAGAACTCACATATGTTTTCTCCTAGCATTTGCAATTTCATACTTTACATTTAAATCTCTGATCCATTGGGGACTTATTTTAGTGTATGGTGGGAGGTACTGGATACATTTCTGGATTTTCTATTCTGTTCCATTGGTCCATATACTAATGCTGCAACTGACCCAGCACCATCCTTGAAGACCCTCCTYGTCCCACTGAATTGACATACATCTTCCCCGCAGAAATCATTTGACCATATATTCGTATGGATCTATTTCTGGAATCTCTACTCTGTTCTATTGATCTACTGTCTATCTTAATGTCAGTCTCACGCTGTACGGTTATCACAGCTTTATAATAATTTGTGTTCATGAGAGATATGGACCATAGTTTTCTTTGCCTATGCCTTGATCTGGTGTCGGTATGAGAGTGATGCTGGCCTCACAGATTGATTGGGAAGCAATACTCTATTTTCAAYTTTATGGAAAAATATGTGCAGAATTGCTTAGTAGTTTTTTTCTTAAATGTTCAGTAGAATTCCTCAGTGAGTATCTGAGCCTAGATTACTGTTTTTGGGAGGATGCATAGACTATAAATTCAATTTGTTGAGTAGATACACTAATAATCAGACTGAGCGAGCCTTTGGTAATCTGTCTTTTTWAAAGAATTTGTCCATTTGTTCTAAGTTCTCAAGTTTATTAATAGAGATTTGAAGTTCCCTCCTCAAACTTGTAACATTTGTGGAGTCTGTACCTGTGCCATTTCTCTCACTGTGGTATTGGTAATTTGTATCTTCTTTCATTTTTCCTGGTTTTGTGGCTTTTGGTTTATTGATTTTATTAATTTTCTGAAAGAATTAGCTTTTGGCTTCATCAGTTTGCTCTATATTTTTCCGTTTTTTATTTCTGCTTTTTCTGTGTTCTTTATTATTTCCTTTCTTCTGCTTATTTTGCATTTCACTCTTCCCCCTGTCCCCTGACCAAGTTTAAGGATCACCGAATTGAAACTTTTTTTCTGCTTGATTATAGAAATTTAGGGCTATAACTTTTTCT